AAAACTTCAGAATAAATCTGATAAATAAGAACTAGTCTGTTACATCCTACTTCTCCATTTCTATTACAACTCGGGAATCCATCTAGTGGACCCCTAATATATCTCACTGAACTCAAAAGATTGGAAACAAAACCCAAGTCTAAAATATGAAATAAAACCCTGGTCATCGGTGGAGTGAATAACTGTATCTGCTCAGCACGATCCAGCTCCAAGTCTGGAACTAACAAACACCTGTAAAAATAAGAGTGGGTCAGACCCACATGCAAATTCTTCTCTAACTACAATCCAAACAGTGACTCGATACGCAGATACACCTTAGATATCTCAACAATAGCTATCTAGTCCATACATATATATATCCACACTAAGGGACATTCACTGGACTACAGTAGGGGTCTCAACCTGAATAGAAGTTAACATGCGAAAACGCACCCAAAGGTGGGCATGAATACCTAGACCTAACAGGGTATACCTCAACCTACTATAGCCAGCTACACATCCACTGCATATACGCACCCTAACCGACGAGTCTGAGGCTCAAGCTCATCTCGTGGTACCATAAACATATATATAAAATCCGTCCAAAACCAGGGTATGTAGTTCAAATATTTATTAAACTGACTACAATAAACCAACTAGTTAGTGACTAAACTTATTCAGTTGATATGACATAACTACTATCCATTAATCCAGGAAGTCATCCAACTTAGTTGCAGTTGATCTGACTTAGTCACAATTAGGATTCAATATCTTTCAATCCATTCCATTAATCCATTAGGTTAGGTTTATGCGTTTTGAGCTAAACCGTCCCCAGTATGTCACCGTCCCATACCGGTCCATACAATCCTCCATATCCATGTAAATTACAAAACATAAATAATGGACTAGTAATTTACAGTCTAAAACCAATATCCAAATCATTGCAGAAATATGTTTAAAATTTCAGCAATTTATATCCGAGCACTTAACCATATAGTTGTCAGAAATGCTTTAATAAATCAACAACTAATATCCAGAGCATGCATAGATCCAATTTAATATATCAATGACTCTATCATGTATTTAAATAAATTCTATAATCATATCATAGTCCGATACATTGCTAAAATAACTGCAGAAGGTTGATTAATGCTTTAGCAATTTTAAACCAAGCATTAATCCATATAGTTGCATAACGGATTTAATACTTCAACAATTAGCCTCCAAAACATGTATAGATCAACTTCAATACATCAATGACCCTATATTGCATTTAGAACAATTTTCCAACATAATAGATCCCACTGGAAAAATCCAAAAAATAAGCTTAAGCATTTAAATCATCATCCATCCATTGACCGTATACAATGTGCATAAATTTTATACGGTTTGTTCCGTTAATTTAGAATTAAACTTTAATCAATTTAGGGTCTTAATAACACTCAAAATTCATTCATTAATCCCTCTGTATAGTTCCAGATTCACTCAAATAGTCTCCATGCTCTAATAGTGTTAACAGTACGCAAAAAAAACTAAAACAAATAACAAAAAAAAACAAAAATTGAAGATGGAGCCTGCTCCAAATTTTGGGAGCAGACTCTTTCAGCCTAGAGCCGGCTCTAGGAGTCCTTAGAGCCGGCTCTACTTGTTGTGGGAGCCGGCTCCCACATCCATGGAGCCGGCTCTCACCTCCTTTGAAAGCCTTCGTCCCCGTTCTGCTTCGTTTCAGTCCGTCTGCTCCTCTCTGATCAATTCCTACCACTCTGTTGGGTTCTAAAACTAATCTTAGGAGTCTTAATTGAGTTTAGAAGCATCCCCAAGGTTGTTTACAATAACTGGGACCAGTTACAGAGGTTAGATTTAGCCATTAAACTAGCATGTTTACAGTACGAAACTTAAGCTAACTTGCAACGTCCATTCCATTCTAACCCCTCTGTTCCTCTTTACCCCTGAACCTAAAGATCTTACATCATCATAGTAACATCCCCATGATTTATTTACAGAGGTTAAAGGCAATTACAGAGACTAAAATTGCTCAACAACATAACATACTTAAAGCAGAAAACTGATCAAGGCTTGAAACAAGCTTGCACGCATTATACCATAATCAAATTTAACACGTAAAGATCATCAATATATTAGCAAGCATGTAAGTTCCGATTTAAAAATTAATTAAACCCTAGAGATTATCTAGGTGCACAGAACACAAGCCAGAGGGAAGGAAAAAGAGAAGAACTTGCCTGTGATTTCAGTAATGAAATCTCGGCGTCGTCTCTAAGTTTCCGGCAACTGCTAACTTCCTTCAAGCCTCCTATGGGTTTGACTTAATCCACCACAACCCTCCCTTGATCCTCTCTATTCTTCTCCTTGGTAGCTCTTATGATTTCTTCTGTTCTCTCAACTCTCTCTTTGTTCTGTTTTATTTCCACTGTGCCGTGAATAAGGTTCTCCCAACCCTCAGTAAAAACTCATACACGTATATATATAGGCACTTAGAAAACCCTAATTAAACTAGAGCCAAGACAGAAACCCTAATCAAACTAGAGTCAGCCGATAAAACCCTAATCATATACATATATAACAGATACCTATATGACGTCCCAAATAAAACCATAATCTTAAATAAAGAAATGAAAACAAATAATTAAATTAAAATAGTAAATCAAAGAATTAAATTAACATCATTTAAATCAACTTACCAAATAAACTAATTCAATTAAATCAAATAACCAATTAAATTACACAATTAAATCAAATAATGAAAGAAAACAATTAAACACCCAAGCAACTAGTCACATAAAAATGAAATAAAAATAATTAAATTTAAATTTTATCCTTTTTAAAACTACGGGTATTACAGGGGTCACGTGCCTTGAAGTGACCAATCTTTAAATCATCGGCCCGTGTGGAGGCAATTTACTTTCTTGTATTTGTTGAAAAGCATGGGAGTATGGGATCATTGTATATGGAGGCTTCTTATTGATTGATTTATGTTGTGGAGAAGAAGTATTTGCTATTTTTTGTTTGTTGTTTGTTGTTTGAGATAGGTTGGTTAGGGTTGGATCATACCACATGTTAGCGATCTTCACTTTATGTATTGCATGTGGTGGTGATACAATTTCTTTGCTCGATCCTTAACTTTTCTCTGTCTCAACAATTCATCATCACTACCTTTTCAACTGGTTCTTGTTTAATTCATGCATGTGTGTGACATCCATGCATATACAATTTCACATCAATACATTGAGGGGTATATTTTCATTTAGAAAAATCCTTTCCCGAACGAATTTGGTCGAGGCCGATTAACACAAAGTGGGTGGAATCCATCATGTTGTGATGGGTCCCACCCTACATTACGTGTGTATCACGTTCAATGAACACATACAATTCATTCATATTTATGTATTCATATACACGTTCTTATTTTCATTTCAAGTTATGATATAGTGATATTTTTTTGAATTTTTTGTAAAGTAAGTACCCCCCCCCCCCCCCCCCCCCCCCCCCCAACACACACACACACACACACACACAATACACATATAGTATATATACATGTTATGTAAGGTTAGTTTATATGTCTATTTTGACGAAGGTAGAGAAAGGTGTTCAAGCAAATGTACATCCTTATCAATATTAATGTGATCATAAATATCACTTTAACGACAACAAAATGATAGGAATCCATAATATTGTTAACAGTGAAAGGTCTTCAAGTATGAGAGCTATCTATATATTTACATATGAGCAAAAGTACCTGCTAAATTATTAGGCTTTGATCATGAGTGAGCAAATATCATACAATAATTAAAGTGGCCATAGTTGAAGAATGCATGTACAGGTTACTATCTATTTTTACCTTCAGATTAAAGATGGGGTGTGTGTAAGAGAGAGAGAGAGAGACAGATATATATATATATATATATATATATATATATATATATATATATATATTGTAATATATATATAGAGAGATATGAATGCTAAAATAGGGCAATGTTGAACAATGCCAAGGTACATTCATGTATACCAAACTTAAATTAGTAGTTCTCTCTCACACACACACACGAATCATGATCATTGAGAAATTATGCTGATTTACATCAAAGTATACCAAACTTGAAGGCAGAAAGAAACATAATTGCAGAAGAGGTTTCACATCTCCTTAGTAAATTACTCAAATTCAATTTCACCCTTCACCTCTTTTTCCTTCTTTCTATGGATAGTGAGTGTTTGGAAGAATAAATGCATCCAGAGAAATTATTCTGCTAACAATTTTACTTGCTTTTTCTTCTATTGCATTATAGATATCTTATACTAATTATTTTCTACTAAATCAGGAAGCACATTTGGTTTCTACATTTTTGCCCATTTGAGGATAGAAAATGCTTAGGAAAATACAAATGATAACCTAAGGAAAAAGTAAAATATAATATTAGGTGCAAAAACTTTTGCCTTGTGAATCTAATTAAATAAAAGACATAGAATTATGTGTCCTATAATAATAATTGCACACCAAGTCTTTTGTCCAATTACCTATATAAGATTCTTTAATTAGATGGGACATTCAAATTTAGACATAAACAACAGTACTCCTAAGTTGGCAATTTCTTTAATCATATTGTATACTTTAGCACAATGTCTGGTACCTCAAAAGACTATTAATTTGATTTTTCCTCTTCTATAACGACTCAATTACATTTTTTATTAAGTGTATACTTTAGCACAATGTATTAAAAGAACTACTAATTTGATAAAAAATTCATTTTTTTTTTCCTCTATTTACTTCATTTAAATCCTTTTGTTTTTGTCATGAAAGCTTAGGTATATATATATATATATATATATATATATATATATATATATATATTATACATGCACATGTATATTTAAGCATTACATGTTCATAGCTTGTTGGGATTTCAGTTCTTTTGTCCTTTATTTAGAATCTAGGGTTTTTAGTTTTGGATGTTTCATGGTAGTATGTTATGGTAGTTCAAACTTTTTTTTTTTTTTGGCAGGAAAACATAAAAGAATTTCAAAAAAGTTACTCTGACTCGCCTATTGGCAGCTCCAATGATTTGTTCTCCATTGTGAGGGGAGAAGAGAGAACTGGTCGTGTGCGGATGCTTGGCTTCGGGCCTACACCAAGTGATGTTTGGGGGCCCTCTCCTAGTAAAGCTGAATTGATTAATAATACTAAAAAATCTCGGGAGGAGGCACGTGCTACACGTGTAGAGTTGCAGTAGATAATTTCAAAAATGCAAGCTGACTATGACAACAAGTTGAAAAATTTACGAGCCAGCTACGACGACAAGTTGGAAAATTTACAACAACAGGTGGCTATGCTAATGCAGATGTAACAACAAAATTGTAGTGGACAGGTATATTTATTATTAGTTTTACTCTTTACTAAATATATGTTTACTTATGCCAAGATTTCATGTATTTTGTTTTGTTATTTTGAAGGATTCTGATTCTTTAAATGCTCCTCCTAGAGTATCCCCAAATCTATTTTCTAGTCGTGATGCCAATTCAGTTAAGGTTATGAACTTTTAATTTCTCTTATATATATGTTAAATTTTCATTTATTATAATGTGCGCTTAATGAATTTATAAAAAACGTAGGGTAATTCAAATCAAATGGGCAAGAAGACTTTTTGAAGTTGAAGTTAAAGTTGAAGATGGGGTCGTGGCTATGCTTTTTGAATTTCCTTCACCTTGGATGGGTTCTTTTTGAAAAACTTGTACTACATTTGTTAGAAATTCTTAATTTTTTTTGTGTGACATTTAGTACCCTTATCTAGACAATTTGGATGGTATTTTCATATTGGCAAGTTAACTTGTGGTTATATTAGTATACATTTTTTACTAGCTTAATTTGTGGTGGTATTAGTAGTCAATTTTAATGGTATTTTTCATATTGGCAGGATTAACTTGTGGTTGTTTGTAAAAACAATTTGAATGGTATTTTTATATTGACTTGTGTTAGGATGCATTTAGTAGCTGTGAAGAATTTTTTTTCCACAAACAATAATGGAAAAAAAAAAATGTAAATAATTTTACCAACGCTCTTTTAAGAAGCGCTGGCATAGGGAAAAAAAAAATATTAAAAAAAAAAAAAAAATTTCAAATAACCCTTTACCAGTGCTTTTTCAAAAAGCGCTGGCATAGGGGGAAAAAATATATATAAAAAAAAAAAATTTCAAATAATCCTTTACTAGCGCTTTTCCAAAAAGCGCTGATAAATACCTTATGCCAGCGCTTTTGGAGAAGCGCGGGTAAAGAGCCTTTACCAGCGCTCTTTGAAAAAGCGCTGGTAAAGGCTCTTTACCAGCGCTTCTCCAGAAGCGCTGGTAAAGGCCTACCGACACTGGATTTACCAGCGCTTTTGAAGAAGCGCTGGTAATTCAATTACCAGCGCTTTTTAAGGCTTTTACCAGCACTTTTGAGCGCTGGTAAAAACCAAAACTGTTGTAGTGCAAACACTACTCTTTCACAACAAATCAACAATCAACAAACTTTCTCCACATACAATGTTCCCATACTCCCATGCTTTAACAATATGCAAGAAAAGTAAATTGCCTCTACGTGGGTTCACGATTTATCTAAGGATTGAAATACAAGCCTCCACGCGGGCTGACGATTTAACTAAGAGTTTAAGTAAGAAAAAACTCATAAACGTCCTTTAGCACTTCAACTCCAAATTTATAACTTAGCTTAGCAATTTTTTTAGATTTTTACCATTTTTCCTTGCTGGCTTAACTCCTTTGCTTGAATATCCTTTACTTGTTTCTTAGCTCAATGCTCCTTGTCAATCAAGAACAAACACAATAAGTAACAAAAATTGAAAACAAAGTAAAGACACGATCAAAAGAGTACTAATTCCTAATTGATTCCACAAATACGACGTTGCCAATCAATCAATCCCCGGCAACGGCGCCAAAAACTAAGGTGTCTTCCCGGGCGTTCGCGCAAAACAATGCATAAAACTTTGAGTTTGGAAATTAATGTCAAGTGGGCACCATAATTTAAATTTATAAACCACTTAACACCTATACTATGTAGTATGAGTGAGAAGGGATCGTCCAAAGGGATTGAGTTGTCGTATTAGCTTGAGGAATCAAATTTAGGGTTAGTAGGTCGAGTGATCAAAATAATGGTTGGTTGGTTGAATTAAGCTAGATGCAAATTAAACTAAAGGAAGCAATAATGCAATAGAGAGAATAAAAGATAGAGAGAGATCTTGGGGTTTAGAGATCAACACTAAGCATAGCTTTTCTACACCTTTAATGAATGATTAATGAGGAGAAGAACATGTATTGCAATATAGTGTGTGTGTGTGGTTGTTTCAACAAGCATGGATGACGAATTAAGCATATATTGTCTAAACAACATGGTGAATAGCACAACATATCAAATTCAGCCATTAATCCTTTCTTTAAGCTCACAATCCAAACACATCACAAGGTTAGAGATACATGTTACTTGTTTTTCATAAGTATGGAACATCAACAACAAGCATGGATTGTCCTCCCATTTAACAACTACACTACAACTAAGCTAATGACATGAAATTAAACTAATTAAACCAAGGGAGAGGCACAATCCATCAAGCAATGAGTATGAACCATCAAATAAACCACAAGAACATGACATTAAGTACTATGTCTTGACAATCTCTAGATCTATAGTATCAACACACATAGACATGCATCAATAACACAAGAAATAGAGACAAACACATGAACATCTATTCTAGCATACATAGACATATGGATAGAATGAAATGATCAATTGGATGCATTAAACCATATAAATCATTGAAGAAACAAGATTTATATATATAAAAGTGTCAAGACATGAATCACAATACAAATCCCCACAAAAATACATAAATCAAGAAGTAGAAAGTATGCTTAGGGCTAACTCTAGCCCCAAGAGGATGTCTAGCCACTTATGGATGATGTCCTCCAATCCTCAAGGGTAAGCTCCATAGAAGAAATTTGCTCCTTGGTTGATGAAGAGTCTCCAATGGTGTCTCTAGCCCCTTCCTCTTCTTTGCTTCCTCCCTAAGAGTTCTCTAAGGTATGGTATGATATGAGATAATACAATATGATCCTCTATGTTTAATGTTACAAAAAGTAATCCTTATCCTTATATAGGTAGGTCAAATGACACCCAAAATGAGCTGAGGTCGTACAGTAAATATTCCCCAATGATTGGATAAAGGACAACTTTTGTGAGCTGGAAATTAAACTTTTTCGCACTGGAGGAAGTTCGATCGATCGAACCTTGGACTTGGATCGATCGAACTGAAGTTAGATCAATCCTCAATGGCGGCGCCTTTTTAAATAAAAACAAATCTGAGATATTTTGAAGATATTTTTGGGAAAATGACAAAAGTGGCTGGTAAGGTGTTACAACTGGATAAGATCAATCATTTGGATAAGGATAAGAATGTTCGATCGATCAAAGAAGGAAGTTGGATCGATCGAACTTTTGAGATCTTTGAACAGGGATAAACATGGCTCAGATCTATCTTGAAGTGCTGAGATCGATGAAAGTTGGATCGATCGAACTTTTCTTGAGATCGATCGAAGTTGCTGAAATTCCACCCTTTGCTTCTTTTTGTTCTACTTTGCTCATTTCTTTGATTAATCCCAGAATTGCTTCAATTATATTCTTATTTGGCTGAGTTAGCTTATTTTGGGGATAAGTACCTGAAAATGGAAATAACACGAAATCAATACAAAACGGTAAAATAAGATAGATAAAGGTTCTAGAATACCTAAGCTTAAGGGGTTTAAATACGCATTTTTCAGCGCTCATCATTAAGGTAGCATGACAGTATAAGGCACTAGTTCATAACATGCCCCCAACCAGGGCGACTCTGAAAAACCTATCGATACGGATGACATCAATGTCGAGAATGATCATTACCAAAAGCACCACGGGAACCAGGCGTTTTGTGAGAGTTGGGGTAACTAATCCTAAAACTCTGACAACAATGACACTAGCACCATTACGCTTAAGGCCTTATATCTAGAAGCCACGAAGGAAAAGGAAATGAAACGATGCCGCCCTAGCACGCGTCTCACTCCACCGGACAAGGACTGCGATTCTATGCTCACATAAGCGTTACTCGCATCAACCGTCAGAACAGACAAGAAGGATCCCGACATGGGTCCTTACTGTAACACCCCCACATTTTCCACGCATAAGTTGATCAGGCTTATGCACGAAAAACGAGGGATATCAAAAACAATTGGCAATATACAAGCATGGAATACAAAATGATGATAATAAAAGAATTTAGACAGGAAAGGAACACTAAATAATACAACATCCATCCATCCTTTATTTAATACCGTACTTCATTACAACTTGGAAATCCTATGTCAAGGATCCCTAAATATAATCCCGAGAGTTCAACGTCAAAAGTAAATAAAAACTGAAACTGAAGTAATACATAAAACTTCTACCTTGAACTGGATCGTAAGAGTAGATGAGTTCGGATGGTGGTCCCACACTGCTAACCTCAACCTTGGAACGGGTACTGACCGTATCCTGAAATAACAACAATGGTGGGTCAGCCCCACGAGCAAGTCCTTTCTACTATGACCCAAATCAGAGAATCAAATAAATTAATCATTATGAATCGGTTGAGTACTATATCTGTATACATCCTAAGGGAACTATCCCATGTATAACATGACCTCAACCAGAATAGACGGTGATCACTTAGACTCACACTAGGTGGTTAAGTGTCGCCTTTCCCCACCCGGGAAATCAGCTATTATACATGGTGCACGGTACTGACAACACAGACTATAACGAACTACACAGTGATAACACCTCGCAAAGTACTGATGAATATACTGAGCATATAAGTTAGGCAACACATGCCAGCAATATTAATAAATATACTAAGTATGTTAATTAGGCAACACATGCCAATAATATTAAACCACATACCCCGACAGCCACACATCTGTCTATCGCAACGAATGCATAAGGTATAAATGAGTCTAAACTTATTAGCCAGCTCATATGGTTCTATATGGCAACACATCCATATAATATAAATGCGACATAATTAAACAGTCCATTTATTTCCTGAAATGCACACAGCATAATTATCATGGTTTATATATCATTTTACAGTATAAACACCCTATAATATCTAATGGCTAATATATATGACGATAATCGTGACATTATTAACAGTACTACTGAATACCATTTAATAAAACAATAACAGCATCTATAATAATGTTGATAAATGAATCACCTTCATATTCGTGCAGTAAATGTGTCATTTAAGGTTTAGAAATATTAATCGGCCATAAGAATAAGTAACGGGTATTAAAATAATAATTTCGTGGCCCGTTAAACCCGTAAATACCAACACAGTACCTAAAAATCCACGTTTAAGGTTCTGGAATTTACAAAACAGGCCCTAGGGGTATTCTGGTAATTTCTAGCAGCTGACCGGGCCCTTCACGCACCGCCCTAAGCTTCCCCACGCGCAGCCCTATGTTTTCCACTCTCTCACGCGCTCACACGCGCCTCCACGCGCGTCTGGCATCAGCCACGCGCGCGCACGCGCTCCCACGTGCTTCTGGAGAGTTCCACGCGCGCCACGCGCGTCTGGCATCAGCCACGCGCGCGCACGCGCTCCCACGCGCGTCTGGAGAGTTCCACGCGCGCGCATGCTCTCCCACGCGCGCGTTGATGGCTTCCTGCTGACGTGGCGTCCTCCGGTTGGTTGGCTGCATCACCTTTCCTACATGCGCGCCACACCGGATCAATCCACCTATGCTCCTTTCATCCTACGGCTGATGATTAGCGCACACCATCATATGGTGTCCCGCGTT